CAAGCATCAGCGTGCGCGGCGGTGGGGAGCGCATCCAGTAGTGCGCTGGGTTCCTTGCCCGCGGCATTCCATGCCCGCGTCTTGCCCAAATGGACGCGGATGTTCGCGCGCTCCTAGAGCGCTGTGCCGAGGGCCGTAAAGGCGGGCCCGGCACGCTCGGGCTGGCAAGTGACATAGATGTCGTCCAAGTACGCGTGCAAGTCAATGTTTAGATAAGGGCCCGGTAGGGATTCGGACGAGCGGCCTGCGCTGGGTCTGGTGCTTTGCGGGGTCGTGGATGCCCGTTGGGCCGCCGCTCGAGTTTGCAAAGAAGCTGGGGCCCGTCACTCCTGTGCGCGATCTGAATGTGGAGCGGGCGGACTAGCCGGCTGCCTGTCGGCTGGCTGCACGTCGTGCAGCCGGGAGAACTGGAAAAGCGCCCTGCTTGCGAGAGCCCTCTGAGACGAAAGGTGTCGGGATCCCCACTTGACCGCGACGGCCTTGAGCTGGTCCAGATAGCTCTTGCTTGATGAGCTCCAGGTAGATGGACTGATTAGATAGTGTACGTTCTTGAATCCGGGTTTTGAGCACCCTGTCGTTGAGGGCCGAAGGAAGAGCAATTTGCTGACCTTTGTGGGTTGCCGTGCATTGAAAAACCTGGTGTAGGGGTCCAAGATTTTGTAGATGACGACAAACGAGGCGGTTTTTGGGGTGTGAGCTTTTGCTCCTCGGTGCGGATTTGGTGCTCTGAGCCTTTGCCTACCCACACTCCTTGTCTTTTGTTTGGTTCCCTGTTGTTCGTTTGTCTGTCTCTGTGGTTGTTCCCCGAATTCAGAAACTGGTCAAGTGGTAGGCCGTGATGCAGGCACCACTGTCGGAGAGACTCATGTACTCGCTGCTGGTATGTGGAGGCGTTCGTAGGATGCCTGAGCGGAAGTGCAGAGTACGTTTGTAGGTAGCTTTGGAAACTTGAGCTCATCGAGGCCCACAGCGATGTGACCCTGGATGTTGGAAAGCCAAGGCTGGCGCTGTAGCCAGGAGGCACAAGCGCATCTGCCCGGCCCCGTGCCGGTAAGGTGATGCGCAGACTGGATTTTGTCCTAGTTCCACAAGGCTGAATGTACTGTTGGATGTGATTCTGCAAGTTTATTGGGTAGATAAATTAGGAGTCGTCGTAGGAGGCCCTGTGTGGCGCTCTGGTGGTCCGGGTGAGAAAGCCCAAGGGATTGTGCGTGGGGGTTTGAAGGCGCCGGAAGGTGAGAACGTGCTTGAGCATTTCCAGCGAGGCGGTGTATCGCGTATATGTCTAGGTCCGAGTGCCTGCCGCTGCGGAGCCGCCGTTTTTGTTCCCAGGACTCAATGTGCTCTGAAGCGTCTCGCAAGAATAATCCAGGCTTCCCGATGGCGAAGAGCGACCTGATGGTAGTTGCGGAGTCGTCTGCCAAACCGGGACCAAGGTTGATCTGACAAGAACTTGGTGGCTGTGTACCCTGTCGAGACTCGTTTTGTACTTGCTCCTGGACCCAAGTGCTCACGTGGTCAGGGGACGTGAAGACAATCCAAGTGGCGAACTCGTCGTAGTTCTTGAAGTGATGCCACCAGCGAAATAGCTTTGCGCGCTGATTGTGCTTCCGGTTTGCATACGCGACGATGTAGACGTCGGGTAGGGGGTTGACGGACAGAGGCCGAGTAGCTCGAAATACTGAGCGCTGCTTCCAGTACGCCACATTTGGCGGTTGAAACAGGGCAAAGGTGTAGGTGCTGGGTGGTAGCAGTGGGAAAAGGCTGCACTAGCAGGTGAAGGTTGGTCGAGTTGTGCAGCCGTGTAGGCAACCAGGTGGGGCACGAAATAGTCGGTACCGTGTCGGAGGGTAGTCGGCCACACAGGAGCCGGAATGCCGTAGTGACGTGCTGACGCAAATACAATGGCGGAAGAGGTCGAGGGGCAAGCAGTGGAGACAACCGGCATGGTGACGGCACCACCGAATAGCGCTAAACACTTGAGCACGGAACGCCATGAATTTTGAAAGGGAAGGCCGAACGTAAAGCACACACGACTCGAGCACGTTTTTCACGCCCCGTTGATGACCGCTACCTCCTTGGAGACTTTGTGTGTGCCACAACAAAAAACGACAACCATCACCTCATGTTCTACTGCCCGTGCATATATTTCCGTGGCATTCAACGCACTTGGTTGGAATCCTCGCTTGCTGAATGCATTGTCTTCCATAAACCCATCAGCATATCCTGCGCTTCAGCAGTACGCGGCCTTGCGCTGCTCTCACGCATGATTGCCCTTCACCATCAGATGACCCAGAGCTCCATGGAACTGATGGCCCTCATCCAAAAATCCACAAGATGTGCAGGATGCTTGTGCCTGCACCTGCACCTGCACCTGTCCCTCATCACCGCAGCAGCAAGCGGAAACGTGGCCTCTTTTTTTTCCGAAGAATTCGTGGCGACCCCCCTTCTCGCAAGCCGACTCTAGCGACCGGGCCTCATTGTCGTCTCTGGAATCACTCCCGGAAGGTCCGGACATCCCGGAGCACGAGCCTTCAGATCCACAAGAAAGGCGCAGGTGAAGATCTTCAAGAAGAATTGGATCCTGGCGGACCTGTCTGAGACCTTCTCGACCTTGCCGTGGTAGATCTACAGGGAGTGGGGCAAGTTCGACACAGACTTGCATGCCGCTCCGGGCACCACCATCCCGACCTACTGGATGTCCAGGACCCGGTGTGGCAACCCAGAGTAAGGCCGGCGCGCGTGACAGATCTGAAATCCTAGCCGGGCAAACAATGCTGGCATGAGCGGGTCGCCTTGCTCCCTGCCTTCCCTTGACTTTTTGCAGGCTCGGTTTTGGGGCACCGCCGTTCCATGCACCGCCGTGCAATCGGGATTCAGGCCGTCGTGCAAAGCGCACCACCGGACTTCCCTCTTCAAGACTCAGCTGTCGCAGATTGTGTCGAGGATCTCACTTCAGCGTAGAATTGGTTTTCTCGGGAGCCAACAAAGCAGCCTTCGCGCGACCCGGACGCAAAGGAGCGCGTGTCAAGGGTTCTGGGCTGTCAAAGGTTGGAGCACATGCATCATATAACAAAAAACCTGCAGGCTGCTGAGTTGCTCTTGTTGTGCTGAGCGTCGCCCTGGTCCAATACTCCGTGGGCGCTCGCCAGCCCAAGGAACGCGGTACTTGGGTACCATGCTGTTTGGCGATGGAGCGCCTCTCAGAGATGCCGACCGCGCAGGACATTGTGCGCCAACTAGAGGCAAATGCCCGGCGCTGCTGTGTTTTATCTGAGCTCCTGAGCCATCCTGCGCCTCCCCCAAAGAACATAGGAGGACCCATCATGATCCAGCACTATCCGCATTCGGGGTCTGGCGCTGTTCCTCTGCGTGAACGTCGGAGATTGACGAACTGGTGTTCAGCGGGGCAGGGTTCCAAAACAGATCTGGTGGCATGGGCCAGGGCTGGTGGTTTTGGCCGGCAACGACTCCCAACGAAACATCGCTCTCGGCCCTCTGCCTGGCACAGCCGGATTGCGAGAGCGGGGGTGGTCACCTCTGTCCTTCGCTGGTGAGCCCCAAGACGCGCTGGCTTGCAGGGCCGCGCGAGGCCCCAGCAGCCACAATTAGCGTGGACCCAAGCGAAGGTCCTGCTACGGCTACTGCTACCGGTACCGCTACCGATACTGCTGTTGCTGCTACTACTGCTACTGCTACTATTCCTGCTACTATTACTGCCACCACCGCCACCACCACTACCACTACCACTACAGCCACGTGACTTGAGCAACGACGCTGTGAAACTGGAAGAAAATGTTTGCGGCAATTGCTGTCAAAAACCCAGACCACCATGGACCAGAGCAGACTGGCCGGCAACCCGCAAGGGCGGCCTTAGGCAACTTAGGTACCTCGAAAGCCCCCTGAGACAGGCGGCGCCGATGGAGGCGAGACAAAGCCCGTCCCCGGCGCCAAGGATGTCGGCAGGGCACGACGCAAACTGAGGCTGCTTCGAGACAAGGGCGGTAGCGCCCAGACGTCGGGACTCGGACGCATTCAGGCGGATTCAGCAGCGCGCGTTTGAAATGGAGCAGACGAGGTCGAAAACGGGCGCACATCGGCGCACATGGTCCGTAGGCATCATCCATGAGAGCAAGCAGCCGCTCTGCCGGTTGCAGCTGGCGCAACCCAGATGCCTTTGCTTTGTTGCTCTCCCAAGCTGGCCCTGCTCTGCCCAAGTTTTCAAAATGCCGCCGACCGCTCTGAGCTCTGTGCGGCTGCTTCACTTGCCGCCTGTGTAGCGGCACCGCTGGGAGTGAGCTTGGGGTAGTTGCGCTGCTTCCGGCGCCGGCATGGGCCACCGTTGCCTGCTTTGTTGGGAGCGACAGCGCGGCGCCTGCGTGATGTCCGTGCTCATAGTGACGGCCTGCCCAGCGTGTTCTGCTTTGCACTTTCGCAGCTGGGTCATGCTCCGGCCAGGTTTTCAACAATGCTGCTGGGCCAATCGCTTTGCCCCTTTGCCGCAGTTCACGTGACCATCCTGGAGATCATGTTGGTGGTTAGTTGTGCTGCAGCGCAAACCTTTGGTTGCACGCACCCACGTATGTGTATGTGAGGCGCTGCGCCATCAGTACTAGTGATGTATTGGTGGCGCATGGCGCATGGCCCGCTCTGCTGTGTCTGGCGGAAAAAGGCGCTCGGCAAACAATACAAACAAACAGTACGAAATTGCTCTCATCTCGTGAAGATTGGTGCGAGTGGCAGGAAAACAACAGTTTCATGACGTGGATCGTGGTGTCCGCTTTGCGTCTTTTGACGTTTGTTTTTATTGATTGCGAGCATGTGTAGTAGGCACTCGAAAGGTTCTCTCGATTTCAACTGCACTCACCATTCTTGTTTGAGCTGACCAGGGCACACCTCACAGTTTTTGCGGCCGCCGAATGGGCATTGGGTTTCTGTAAATATTTGTGTCCCAAGTGAGTGTTAGGAAGTATGATCAAGCATGACCGACGTGAACACGCAGGTTGTGGCTCGCAGTTGCAATGTTGCCATGCGCGGTGCCCTTGTCGGCTTAGCCGGGGCAGTCAGAGAAATGCAGCGTGTTCCGTCCGGAAGCGGGTACAACGATGACGCCCAACTCCCCACCCTGCTGTCGCCGAGGAAGTCCCCGAAAAAAGAAAGGGCTCAGAAACCGCAAGGCATAGCGGAGGTCAGCTGGGACAAGTTTCTTCCGGACTACAACGCCAAGCTTGGAACTGGGGCATATGGCGGCGTGTACACAGTACAAGGCAACCCAGACAAGGTCGTGAAATTGTTTGACCGCGGTGATTGGAATGACGTGATGAAGGAGACCGTTTTTGCACAAGACATGAAAGCCCGCGATCCTGTCCACTTTGTGGACTGCATTGGCGTTGGCAATTCTCCTGTGGATGATGGCAAGATTTTTGCCGTTTTTGAGCGTGCGGCTGGCATTACATTGAATGCTGCGGCTCATTGTTTTCGCTCGCCTGATGGAATCAACCATGCTGCAAGCTCAGATGTTGTCCAGCGTAGCACATTTCATGCATGCTGAGACTGGAGACCCGCACCAAGGTGGGCCAAGCACTTGATGTCTTGGACCAGCTCACAGAAATCATGATGCGAACCTTTGCTACAGCTTTGAAGGGGGGCATTAGAAAGGTAAAACATGTCTCCTGCCAATCCCCAATACTCATGTTCGTTCCTCGCAGCTTTTCCTGTAAGCTTTGCCTACAGGGGATCCTTGGGTAGCAGACAATTCGCACTGTTGTGAGAGGTGAGCGTCCTCACATGTAGGCCAGGATTGTGTTATGAGCCCACTTGGATCAGCACACCTCGCCCATGCGGCCACGCCAACGCATCAAGCAACAAGAAGCGGGAACACAAGAGACATAAGTTTCTTAAACTGGTTGTTACACCCCCCCCCCCCCCAAAAAAAAAAAAGAAAGAAAAAAAGAAGAGACGTATCGATACAAACATCAATTATGTTGTTTGAGGTCAGGATATGCCATGCACAACTGAACAAGCTCATTTTAGTATTGCCTACGCGTAGGCAAACAGAGGAAGGTTGGTCACCAACTCCTCGAGCTTCGCAGGGGCGGACTGAAAGTTGATGAAGACGTGCTGAGCATGTACTCAGTTTGACCGGCATTGTCCACGTTGCGAAGCAGTTTTTTCTCTATAATTGGAAAATCGTTTTTATTTCCCATTTGCAATGGTCAAGCGCGGAATGCGAGGAATGATGAAGCCAGACAAAAATGGACAGCTGCATTTTCATTTGGCAACTCGCCAGCAACTAGCAGTGCAATGCAGGGTGGCTCGGTGAAACACTTGTTGAAGGACCTCAAGCCGGACAACATCATGATTGCAGCTTGGCAGCAGTTTTCATACGATCCCACATGCATGTTCCACACAAAAAGATGCTCAAGCATGGTCATTTTGCTAAGGCGCGTGATGCCACTGGCAAGCCAGAGTTCCAAGCCTCTCAGCTGGATGAACTTGCTGCTGTTTCATCGTAGCTCTGCCCCACTGCGGGACAGAAGTGAGGACAAGAGGTCAAGATCAACATTTTCCCAGAAACCAGCGCACCACGCTCCAGCACCCAACCAGTATCACCACCTTCTATTGTTATCCTAAGGCCCACCCCAAACCCACCCTAAACTGACAACAAGCAAAATCCTTTCAACACCAATTGCGTGGCACGAGCAAGCCAACTGATTCAGCGGACCAGCAGCTCAACAGATCATTGGATCAACGACTCACCCAGCGGAACAACGTATGTTTCAGCGGATGAAAGACGCCCCTCACAGAGCCCAGTAAAAGCTGGCACCTCAAGACATGTTTTATTACTCCAAGTCGCAAACATGGCGCCGTGTGCCCACTTTGATTTGTTGTTTGTTGTCCTGAATGCTTTTGTGAACTCTCTTGCTGACTGCGCCGCAAAGAGCAACATGGCTGGTAGGTGACGCTAATTGACTACGGCGTCGTGCGGACCTGTAAAATGGGTGATGCAGACGTTCACGATGCAGCCTTGCAGTTTCTTGGATTTAGTTGGTGAGCAATTCGCGCGGCATCCTTACCTGTTTGGATTCGCGGGACGCGTGGTATGCATGCCTGGCCAGGGTGTTCCGGTGGCTGGGGTGGCTCTTTCTATGGATGTTGGCTTCTGAAAACTTCACGCTGGATGACAGCCAGGTCCTCAGTAAAATTGGCCGTTTGATCATCCACCGCATGGCACCACAGGCCTGGAAAAGAACCCATGGGATCTTTTGCCTGAAGGATTCCGACCATTCTTTAAGCGCAACGCAGCTGCAAGAGAATTGGGCAAGTTGCTTGGAGATCTCAATTCCCAGTTGGTTGCCATTCCCATATCCTCAGGCTCTGATTTCCGACCACCAGCCTACAGGAGTGAAAAGTTAAGCTCCCCAGCTGCAATAAGTCAAGCCTGGAGGCCTGGAGATGCCGTTGGGTTTTCCAATCGTTAGGTGCCGGCCTTCTCCGAGATGCCTTGCAAGATGGCATCTCGGCCCGCGTTGAAGTTGAACCACAGTAGACACTGCATGCGCGCAAGGATTCTTCGACCAAGCACCCCGGGCTGAGCGGAGCTTGATGCGGGTTGAATGCGTAGCTGCACTTGCATTCGCGGCAAGTGCGCGTACACTGGCTTGCAAGGTAATGTCTCCTGCATTTCGGCAGCAGTGGACGTCCCCAAGCAAGGCAAGGGTAAATACCCCCAAGCCTGTCTATTCTGCATTGCTCTGTGTCAGGCCAAGCAACTGCTGGGAAGCATTCTCGGCCACTGGGATGCAGCATCGCCCCGTGATTTGCATGTGTAAAGTTCTGGCTGCAGGTGATTTGTTCTATGGCGCAGCTTGGCAAACCTGTCCTCGATCTGCATGTGGAGACGGCAAGGGTTTGGCCAATGAGTCAGGTGGCGTTGGCCAGCGATTGCTCTTCCGAGTTTTGTCCGGACTTCGAGCCACAGCCTCACAGCCTCACAGCCTCACAGCCTCACAGCCTCACAGTCTCACAGCCTTCAGCTTCTGAAAGTTGTGCAACAAGGAAGTTCCACAACGACTTCAAAGAGCTTCACAAGACGCGGCCTCAGCCTGCAGCATCTCCGTCACATGCTTGCGCTGGCACCTGTAATTTGCGAAACCTTGTGTTCCGCAAATTTGTTGCATTTCCAAGGATTGCCAGTGACTCACTGTGAGCCCAAAATGAAGATGGCCGCCAGCTTATACCTAAATGCCTTTGGAGCGGCTCAGCGCTCCGGCCACAGCTGCATCTCTTTTTCCGGCAAGTCAACGCACTTGGCTGGCTGAATTCGTAGCTCACGCGGCTGCCACGAAGCACAGCTGCGGGGCAAGGCCATTGACTGAATGGATCTGGAGTGGTTCAGAAAACGATTCGCTGGAGTCTTTGTAGATAACATAATTGTTGCCCAGACCTCTGCATCTCATTTTCTCACAGCTTCCGAGTCACCTTTGCAGTTGCACCTGTTTGCGTGACTTGGCTGTTGGTGTTGTCCTTTTGTCTTGGTGGCAAATTCAAATGCTGTCATTTGTGTGTCTATGGCCAGCTGCCCATCTTCACGCAAATGGCATGCTTGCTGTTGAACCGCACCCTGTGGCTGAAGCCTGGTCCAGCCTGTTCCTGTCACCTTGCAAGAAGAGGCACGGCCACGGTCTTGCATGATGCCGGAAATGTCTGCGAGAAGACTTGCTGGTCATGCAGCCAACTTGCAAGAAACTCTCCCAGCTATCAGGCCCCCATATCTGCCATGGTCTGCTGGGATGTGGAGAAGCGGCTTGACAAGTCATGGCTTTCCAGCAAGTGAGAGAGTGCATGCTGCAACCCCTTTGTGCCAGCTGCGCGTTTGCTGTCTATAGCTTGCTTTCATGCATCAAACCTGCAGAGCAAGGAAAGGCTATTGCCCAAGAGGGGAAGCATGCAAATGGTGTGCTGGAGCCGTAGGCCTGGTGAACTTGGGCTAGCCCCTTTGCGCCCACTCTGCTTCAGCGCGCCTTTGTGCAGCTCAGGCGGTGGCAAGGGCAAGGGCAAGGGCAAAGGGAAAGGCAAGAGCTCTCCCCAAGTCGTTTGGGTGAAGCAGGCGCGACTGACTGCGCGTACGTTCAAAGACCTGTCCAGAAGCTGGCCCACCAGTTGCCCAGGTCATTCACAAGCCTGCGTGGGGCACCAAGGGCAAAGCCAAAGGCAAAGGAAAGACCAAGGCACCGCTTGAGCATGGAGAATTCCAGGCTGCTCATTTGGGTGCGTGGCATTCGGGCCAGGGCAAAAGGACTGAATGGTGCATTGACCACAAGAAGACCGGAGAGTGCCGCGCCCAAGGATGCATACTGACTGACAGCCTGCGTGCAGCTTCCTTTAATTGTGCCTGTCGGTCGACCAGCCGAGGTGCCCCCGAGGTGGGCAGCTGGGAGGCTGCAAGTTGGCTCAACTATTCCATCCTTGATGCCAAACAGTATCATGCCAATATGCCCTTGCAGCCCAGGCAAATTTTTGCACCCGGAAGACCCCATGTGCTGGCAGAATTTTGGCGGCATGCAGCGAGGGCAAGCCTAGGGAGAGCCTTTCTGCATCGCCTTAGGATGATCAAGTTCGGAAGCTGCAAGAAGGGTGATGCTTGTGAATATGCCCCGTGGCCGAAAGAGCATTGCATACCGTAATGCCGCCTGCTCACGTCGTGCTCAGGCGCACGACTTGGAGACTTTGCAAGAATAGGCATCGCCATGTTTTGAAGTGACGGATGTGACAGCCAGAAACCCAGCTTGCAGCTGGGTAACGATCGTATGATATTGCGAATGGAAAACGAGCTTTGAACGCAAGACATGTACTTCCTCTTCCTTGTTGATTTGCAATCGCTGCATGGTCCATTTTGCCATTTTGCAGCTTGGCGAGAACTGGCCAAAGACACGGGAAGCACCAGTCAGTGCGACCAGTTCGGAAGCCAGACAGCTCCCAGTGAAACTTTGCTTCTTGTCTGCCCGCCTTGGGTCAGATGCAGTGCGGCTTAAGCTGGCCGCACATGCAAAGCGGAAGCACGAGGGATGCACAGTGGAAACACATTAATCAGAACAGAGACACGGGGCAGGGGCTATGATAAATTATGTCCAGAGCAGTTTGCAGCTTCTTTTGCTCAAGCCAGCACCGCCCTTGTGATGGCAGCGGCCATTCCGGCCAGTGCCTCAGAGGCATTTGTTGCCCCATTTGAGCAGGCGAGTTGTCCGATCTCTGCATGATGTGTTCAGTGAAAGCACTGGAACAGCAATTGCAGTGCAGAGCGTCACCAGCGCGAGCTGCTGAACATGTTGCCCCACAGATGTCCAATCCATGCTGCAGAATTCAGCCAGCCATGCAAAACGTGTGCGCTTTAGCGCGACACCCTTCGCTTTGATCAAGTCGGGAATTTGAGGCGTCATCCACAAGATGGCGCTTAGAGTTGGGCGACCTGGGCGAGCTCCCAAGCCTACCAGGCGACCACGCGGCTTGGCCATAGGGTCGTAGGAGTCAAGCAGTCTCCGAACACATTTTCCCAAAGACCCCGCAAAGAAAGCAGGCTTCCCGTTTGGAGGAAAGCAACTGCCCAAAGATTGGTTCCAGCGCAGCTCCGTACCGTGTTTTTGAAGATGCAATTCAGAGCACATTCATGATATTATTCTGCAAGGTTCATGATTTATGTTATGCATCAGCCGACCTGAACAAAACTTGAAGCTTCCGCAGCCTCTTCAATCCTAAATTTATTCGCCCGCTTTTGGTGTTCTGTTTTGACATGTGTTGCCACGGGACTGGAATCCGTGCGTGCGTTTTTTCCCGAATGCGTAGTAGAAGGGTTCCCGTTTAGAGGCTGAGGGTCTGGGGGTTTGGGGGCAAGCGTCCGCGAAGCGTCGGTCTGTTCGAGAGTGTCGTGCTCGCCGTGCCATTGGTCCCGCAAAACGTGACTTTTCAATGAATCTTGGAGTGTTGAATTCATTATTGTGCAGGAATCGTAGCTCTTTAGACATTGTTTCGCTGCACAGGCGCAGGGTTTAAAGGTTGCGTGGTCGCATCGTGATTTGCGCTTCAGTTTTGAGGTGTCTTGCTTTGCAGGCGCGCGCAAGCGTTTGCCGTGCAATCGGCTCGTTTTGGCCTTTAAACTGTGCAAAATCGATCGAACTCATTCTGGCACCCGTAAACGCGTCAACGTTGGAACTCGTGACAGGCGCAGGACGCAGCGCTTTAGAGCTTTTGATTTGAATTTCGTGGCAAGCGCGGTTCTTCTGAGTTTCCTGGCAGATTGCGTGGTAGGCGCAGTACTTTGGCGCTTGGGTGTAGGGTTTGTGGCATACGCAGCACTTCCACGCTTGCTGTGCAGAATTTGCGGCAGTTGTAGAGGGAAGTCTTCGGAAGGTATCTTGGCGGATTGGGGTGTCTTTGGAGATTGCAATTTCTCTTTTTTTGGGGGGAGGGTGTTATTGAAGGTGTCTTGAGAGCGATGTCTTTTGGTGATGTCTTTGCGGCGTGTGTGTGTGTGTGTGTGTGTGTGTGTGTGTGTGTGTGTGTGTGTGTGTGTTTTTGGATGATGCTCTTGGGGATATTTCTGTGGTTCTCTTGGGTGATGTCTTGGCGGGCTGCCCTTAGGGGATGTCTTTGGAGGGTGCTTTTGGGAATGTTTTTGCGGTTCTCTCGGGTGATGTCTGTGGGGGATGTCTTGGGATGTCCTTGTAGGTGTCTTTTTGGGTGTTTGTGCTTGTCTTTCGAGTGTGTCTTGCAAAGATGCCTAACTTTGGCGGATGCTTTGAACATGTTTTGTTTTCTATGCGGTTGACTTGGCGGTGTCGGGGATGGTTTGGATGCCTTGAGGGGATGTCTTGAGGGGCATGTCGTTCGGGGGTGTCTTTGGGGGTCTCTAGGGGGCGTGTTTTTTGGGCGATGTCTTAGCGGTGGGTCTTCTGGGATGTTTTTTGAGGGTGTCTTTGGGTCTGTCTTTGGTCGGGGTCTTGGGGGTGGATGTCATTGCGATTGTTTTTGGGGATGTCTTTGTGCGTGTGTGTGTTTTTAAAGGGGCATGCGTCTTCCGAGGGTATTTTGGGCAGATGCTTTTGTGAATGTCTTTGCAAATGTCTTTCGGGATGTCTTTGAGTCTTTGCGGATCTTGGGTGATGTCTCTAGGGATTTCTTGCAAGGAGTGGTTGTCTGTGCTGGGATGTCTTCGGGGGTGTGTCTTTGGGAACGTCTGTGTAGTTGTTTTCGGGTGATGTCTTCGGGGATGACTTTGAGGATGTTTGGAAGGGGTCTTGGTTAACGTTCAGGGGGATGTCTGCGGGGATGTCTTTGGATATCTTTGCGGTTTCTTGGGTGGTGTCTTTGAGGGATGGCTTTCTGGGCATGAATGCCGAGGGTGTCTCGGGGGGATGTCTTTGGGGGGATGTCTTCGGGGATAACCATGTCTTTCAAAGGCAGATTTCCTTGGGGGGTGTCTTTGGGGTTGTCTTTGTGGTTAGGGATGTCTTTGTGTCTTTGTGGTTGCGTTCGTGGATGTTCTTTTTGGAAGTGTCAATGGGGATGTCGTTCGTGATTTTTTGGAGTTATAGATATATATATATATATTTTTTTTCGGGGTGGGTTGGTTGGAGAATTGTTTCTAGGACCTGTCCAAAGACTTTAGGAATGTCTTTGGGATGTCTTGGGAGATGTCTTCTGGGGCTCATGCTGCAGAAGGCTTGCGGCCCGTGCTTGCGTGGTTTCGGAATCGCCCTAACTAGGGTTTTGCTCTTTTTGGGGTACTCGTAGCTGGTTTTGGTTGGGGATGAGTTGCAAGTCCAATTCGGTCCCCGAAGCAGACGTCTTTCTATTTACAGCTTGACAAATGGATTGAAAACGCTGGTGTAATTAGGGCTGCGCAGCCAAGACTTGCCTTTCAGTTTGATGGCTCCTGTAAGGAAGGGGTGCTCAGAATTGCGTGTGGCGACACAGCGCGGCACTCAACACTTTTAGTTTTGAGTTTTATTGGTGTTGGCTTCCTGCGGCCGAAAGGTGATGATTGTCCTCCCGTGCGGCTCAACTCCAATGCTTTGCAGCCCGCCAAGCCTGACTGTCCATGATGAGTTGGGCAAAGAATCGGTGCTACAAGGAAGGGGACTCGAGTCGTGGCAAATGTGCTGTTCCGCTGCTTGCAGCGTTTGCTTGTAGGTGACGCGGGAGGAGCGGCAATTGCAGACTGGATCGCTGAGTGGTGTCCAGAGAGGCAAGTTGCTGGCAAGTTTGGCCTATGGAAAGCCTGCATGAGCAGGCCTGGCCCCTATGAGTTGCAGCTGAAGTACCAGACCAGAGATGGTGATGCGCCGACAGAGGTAGTCGGACCAGCGTGGCAAATGGTGGCTCCCTGGCCGTCAGTCTCAGCACCTTAACCCCATGCCACACTTTGTCCATTTGCGGCAGCAAACGCTAAACTTCACGCTATTCCCCTGGAATCGCCCAGTGCACCGTGGCAAACTGCACGCATCCTGAGGTTGAGCCTGTATTACGAGCCTTAGCTGATTTAGCGGGCCGAAAAGCTCGGATGACTCAATGGTAGCCAAGGAGTTCAAGGTCATCACCTCCCTGCTCGCTCAGCCATGCACCTGAGTATGGTCCTCGCAGTTGGCATTTGTGCTGCGCGAGCCAAAGGTTAATCAGCTTACTGTTCTGTCACGTCTCGCGGGACCCATCGAGCACTGGCCTGAATCACTAGCTTCACAGGCCGTCTGAGATCGAAGCAAATACAGACACCCTTTTTAGATGGTGCATGCCGGCAGGCCATCTTGGGCTACAACATGATCCACTTCACGCCCATTCAGCCACCAGGCCAGCGAGTGGCACGGCACTGTTCAAGTCATTGGAGCACGTGTGGCACTTGAAGCGCACAGCACGTTGTATTGGTGGGGCTTGTTGCAAACATCACAACATGCCCTCAGCTTCCAAGCCCAGCTGGGCGATTGCGAAGGCGCAAGCGCACGCATGTACGCAAAGCGCTCGTGTGGCGCATGCCGATTGATTTAATTCTCAACAGACTCACCAGACCTCATTTGTTTACAGTGTACACGAGCTCACGCAGCAGCACGTACCCTGTACAGGAGAAAGTGGCAGTTGCTATGCGTTGGACGACCAGGTGGCCAAATTCTGTGTGTGATTTTCATGTTTGGCTGTGTCAGCTATAGCTCCTGCAAGGCAGATGTTGACGCAACCCTTATGGAATCACCACCGCCAAGCAAAGAAGGAAGGCAGGCCATCCTTGTGCCATGGAGAGCTGTCATACATGCAGTTGAATCAGGCTGGCAGTGGTGAAGAAGTCGGTAGCAGCATGGCCCAGGGGATTTACCGGCAATGTGTTGCAGACTTGAAAGGTGCTGCGCGGGGGAACGGGGCTCAGGGGCTGCTGAGTCAAGTGACGCTAAGGAACAGTTGAACGATCTTGGATTGCTCTCGGCAATGGACATTGTGTTGAATCACTGCGCAGGCGTGGATGGAAAGAGCATGTGGGGGTCTCAAGTGATTGTGAGTTAAGGGAGTGCACCATGGCTCCGGGAGCAACCCGAATCTGCCTACAATGCAACTCAGCGGCAATTATTTTTTGCACGTGTCCGGCGCTTTACGAGGTTGCAGTTGACATATGTAAGTGGCATCATGTGTGCCATTGCACATGCCTCACAGAGTGGTGCTCAATAGCAAACACGCAGTGCAAAGCTTCACGAGTGCTGCAATTCAATGAGGCCACGTGTCAACATGCAGCTTGCAACTTTAATCCCCTACCTGTGACATGCGCTGGTGGTGCGATCCAACGCCATGGTGTTGCTGACGCTGGGGGTCGGATTGGCAGCTGGGGGGGCTATCTATGTCCGGAGTTCCCCTGAAGCTGCCGACAGCTTGCGGGTGCTGTTGGGCTGGAAGAGGCAGCCTAGAGTCGGGGAAAACGCGGCATCCTTTGTCGACAAGGATGCACCCATTGTGAGATGCTTTGGGCCTGGCCGCCAGCGATGTGGGGAGCTTCGATACTTTGCTTTGTTCACTGACCAGCTTCTGCTCAATACTACTCCTGGGCTTCCGGAGGAGGCTTTGAACGTGACTGGGGCTGAAGTCTCGCACCAGGCTGCCATTGTGACCTTGCAATGGGGTGACGGCTCACAAGATGACCCTGCTCTGACATTATGGTTTGAGGATGCGGAGGCGGCAGCGTACTGGGCAGAAGCTTTGGGCTTTGCTGCGGGGGTGGGCGATGGAGAAGAAGCAGAAGCTCCCAAGGTTCAAGAGCTGGAGAACCGGGTCGCTGCGGCCCTGAGGGCCGCCTACGACCGTGCTGCCCGGATCAAAGAGCTGGAAGACACCATCGAGGCGGGCAAGGACCGCGAGCAGCGCATCCAGCAGCTGGAGGAGGTCCTGCATGACACCTTGGAGGAGGCTGAGGCCCGCGCTGAGAAGATCGAGGCTTTGGAGTGGCAGTTGGAGCGGGGCCCCAAGGGCGACGCAGAGTCCCGGGCGCTTCTGCAGGATGCCATGGAGTTTGCTGACCAGCTGCTGGAGCAGCACTCAGGTCTCTTTGAGGAGGACGACGATGCCGCCGCACTTCGGGAGGCTGTGCAAGCCGTGCAGCAGTCAAAACCAGATATCGATGCCGACGTGGCTGAGTTGATCAGGCAGCTGGTCACGGCACTGCGCTGGCCAGTGGTCTTGCGAGAGCGCTTGGCAGATGCGGAGGCCACGGTCAAGGAGCAGGAAGAGATTCAGGAGCAAGCCTTGCGCGAAATCATTGACCTGCAGAAGAAATGCGATACTCTTGAGGCAGAGTCTGAAGAGCAGAAGGTTGCCCTTGAAGCAGCAAAGCAGCAAACAGCCCTCACTGACGTCGCACACCAAGAAGAAATGCAAAAACTAAAAGACCGGGAGGAAGAGGCGGAGCGCAAACGCCACGATGCGGAGGAGAAGGCCAAGGAGCTTCGAGAGCTGCTGGACTACGCAGACCAGGCTGCAGAAGAGGCAATCCAGCGAAAGGAGGAGGAGCTTGAGCAGAGCCATGCTACGGAGATAGAGAAGCTTCGCCAGTTGACGGAGGTGGCGAACTTGCAGCAGCGTGACGCCCACACGAAAGCAGTAGAGCTTCATGAGCAGCTCGCGCGCGCTGAAGCGGCCATCGACGCTAAGGCAGAGCAGGAGAAAGAGAAGCTCAGCGCCCAGCACCAGGAGGAAATTAGCTCCTTGAAGAAAGAAATCCTGGTGGTGGAGCAGCAGCGGGACTCGGCGAAGCAGGAGGCGGTGGAATTCAACAAGCAGCTGGAGGATTCGCAGAAGGGCGAGCTGCTGAAGCTCCGGGAGGAGCTTGAGCGGGCAAAGTCCAAGGAGACGGAGGAAGTGTTGCATGAGAAGCAGAAGCAGACGGACCAATTCGTTGAAGAATTGGAGGAGCTGAAAAAGAGTCGAGAAGCCACAGACCGTAGGCGAGCTGAGGCGGAGGGGCACTTGACCGAGCTTAGGGAGATGCTTACCACTGCACAGAAGAAGGGGCAGGACGCGGTGGCATCTACCAAATCTATGGAAACGAAGCACGCTCAGGAGCTGCGTGGCCTGCAGAGCCGATGTGAGTCGGCTGAAGTCCAGGAGCAGCTTGCCGAAGCAAAGGCCCAGCGAATGAAGGAGAAGCTCATGAGTGAGCTTCAAGCAGCTGATGAGGCGGCAAGTAAATCGCACAAGTCGGTTGACAAGGAGAGGGACCGAGAGCTGGAGGACGTGCGCAAGCAGCAGCATGAGGCTGAGTTGAACCGGAAAGCTGCCGATGCACGCGCCGACGAGCTGCGCAAGCGCCTGGAAGAGGCTGAGAAGCGGGCGCTAGAAGCAACGCAGCAGCAGAAAGTGTCCCTGGATGCCGAGAGAGAGGAGGAAGTAAATAAGCTGAGGGAGCAGATGCAAACCGCAGAGGAGAAAGTGGACAAGATGGAGTCGCAAGCCAGCCAATTTCGGGAGAAGCTGGCAGCAGCTGAGGTTTCTTTGAGTGAGGAAGCTCAGCGCAGGCGAGACTTGCTAGAGCATGAGAGGCTGCGCAGCAAGGCAAACTTCGATGACAAAGATCGTGAGCTTGAGCAACGACTTGAGAACGCAGAAAAGACTTTGAAGAGTCTGGAGGAAAGTGACAGCAAGCCTTCCGATCAGCACGCCTCTCAGATGCTTGTTGGCTAGCATGTCCAAGCAAATGAGTGCATTGTAAACATTCGCAGCCCTGTGCTGAATACTTCATGTATTGTTTGGTTTGGAATGTTCTTGCGCTTGTGCTGGCAAGGCCCCAAAAGAGCCGGCGGAAGAAGGGCCAACGGGCCTGAGCCAAGGAGGCAGCGCGTAATGGCAACCCATGCCTAGTGTCACCAGCAAATTAGAATATTCAAGCTGTGCGTGTGGGGGGGGGTTGTCACGGCAGACGCCCCAGCTGCCGCCGCGCACATTTTCAAGCCCCATGCATCAGCGACGCGGGATGGCAAAGAGAAGTCGGAAAACAAGAGACCATGATGCGAGATCCGTAGTTGGACATTCACTTTGCCATGTCGCCTTTGATCGGACTGCGAGGTTCATAATTGCCCGTACCTCACAGCTGCAGCTGAACTTGATCGGAGGCTCGTGGGCAGCTTAGAGTTGCTCATGTTTCTGGTGACGGCTGCAAGCTGGGCATCTTTCCTGCTTAGGCATGGTTCTCTGATGAGCTGAAGGATGGGCATTTTGGTGGCCCTCACATCCAGGACTCCAGGGCATCTGATAGGTGATTCAGAGTCTGTCATTGTCCTGGCTTGTCTCATTGTGTTTTGGGACGGTGCCTGGCTGTGATGGTGTGGCCCGCAGAACCACGGCGACGTCGCGCGTGTTATCGACGGTGTTCGCCAGCACGTTGTAAGCGCACTGCGACTAAGCCTCCTGACATCAATCAATGAGTTTGTGTCGGTTGAGTTGCCCCCAATCATGCAGCTAGACCGTTGACAGTCGAGGACCGTGTTCACATAGGCAGGGTCAGGGTCGGCAGTACATTCACCTTGACCCGCACAACCACTGTTGATGGAGCAGCAGCAGTAGGGTGCACAAGACTAGCCTAGTCACTCACTCAAAGTTCACATTCCTTCATTCTATCACCCCACTGGTAGTGACACCTGAGGCGAATATTTCCGAGTTGATGAGATATCTTCCGTGGAGGAGTGGGACAAGTGCGGTCCGACAGATGTAAGGACGGGTTCTGCTTGCAAGTTGCAAGCTTAGCAGTGGATTGATGTGCTTGCTACTGATTGCAGGATGCCAGGAGAAGATCCCTATGAAATGCTGAGAACAAGCTTGCTTCCAACACTTGGCCACAAACGTTCTGGTGCCATCATTCCTGGTCAAGTTTCGAGAAGATGCTGCGCTAATATCGATGTGCTTAAAGGGCATATCTCAAAACTTCAGGCGGACTTGTTGGCGCACTACAGCTCCATTGAGAACGACATGCTGCAATCCCTGCGTGGAAGCATTGAATACGAAAGGCTTGTGCAGCGAAAGGGGCCAGTTGGCGATGGAGATCTTGCTTTGGTTGCACCCTTTTTTCGCAGTGTGAAACTGGAGCCAAGTGCAGCCAAGCGCTTGGGCTATGACTGCGAAACTGTCGCGCATAACGGCTGGGTAATGGACTGGCCTGCCACAGAGGATTTTGCCGCCCCTTCATGGCGAATGGTTTACTTGCGGCGACACCTCTGCGTGTGGAGCGACACAGTCAAACTGCGCTATGGTCAATGTCCAGCTGATGCTCCCTTCCTTTGGAAGCACATGACTGACTATGCAGTCAACATGGCCAACATTTTCCATGCCATTCGCTTGGACAATGCGCATTCTACCCCGCTGCATGTGAGCCAGCATGTTCTCTCTCGATGTCGCGAGGCCAATCCGCACTGCTGGATCTTTGCTGAGCTGTTCACGGGGAATTTCAGCACGGACTTGCTGTACCAGAGAACGCTGGGCATCAACGCACTCATTCGCGAGGCGATGCAGTGTGACAGCCCGGCTGACTTGGGAAACAAGCTGCAGAGCCCCCTGTGGAATGCTCACCCAGTGGGGGCGCTGTCTGTGGTGCCAACTCTGGACAGAGTGCCTCCAGCGTGCCAATCACAGAAACATCTCAGCAAGTGCCCATCCAGGTCCTTGCTCGCTGCCCCGGCTCGGGAAGCCTTGCCGCTGCTGCCACGTCACTGTCCTGCCCTACTTTTTGACTGCACCCACGACAACCAAACCCCCGCGGAGAAGCGGCATCCCCGAGATGCGCTTCCAAATGCGGCTGTTGTGGCCGCAAGCTGTGCAAGTGTCGGCAGCGTGCGTGGCTATGATGAGCTTTTCCCAAGAAACCCGTCCGTGGTTTCGGAGCGAAGGCCATACGGCAAGTCGCCCCAGATTGAGCCACTAAAGCTGGGCGGGCTGGAGCCAAATGCGCTCCCCCAACCTGAGGAGATGGAGAAGGAGTTTGAGATCATTTGGCATCACAGGGCCTCCAAGGTCGTTGCACGAGGCGCCTGGGACGGTTGGAGCACAGACCTGATCTTCAGTGAGAGAGAGGATGGCTCCTGGCTGGCAAAGCTGAAGGTTGAGCTGAGCCAACTGCCGCTTCAGTATAAGTTCATTGTGGATGATCAGTGGCTCACAAGTGACAAGCTGCCCACTTCTCAGGATGAGCACGGCAACCGCAACAATGTGATCGACTTGCCCGGCCGGAGTGGCTCAGCTGCCCTGTCCGGACCTGATGTGGGCGTGAACACGTTGCCAGGAATTTTCACGGTCAAGCAGGTGCTGAACAAGCTGCACGCTCAACTGGGCAAGGATGGCTACAATGAAATTCACGTGCGCCCTCTGTCAGACGAGATTTTGGCAGTGGAAAGGCGGTCGCCGAACAATTCACACTCCGTCTGGTTTGTGATCCGCTCGGCCTTTTGGCGAAATCGAATGGGAGATGGACTGAATGGTGCCGCTGAGCTAGAGCTCGATGGGTTTATTTCACACCTCCACGTTGCTGCGACATTGTTCGTGAGCGATGAGCACGAGCACAGCTTTCGCTCCAACAGCGACTTCGTCACGGGCTTGGAGTGCTATTTGCACATGTACGGCTCCATGGAGGAAGTGGCAGAGCTACGGACCGAAGGGGGCAACTCCAAGGTCCGTCTCACACGTTTCCCACCTGGCAGCGTCCTGGTCTTCAGCACGGATGCTTCCAAGGCGCAGCAGAGGCATTCAGCCGTGATGAAGCTGCTTTCGGCGGATGAGATCTTCAAGCCTCTGCACAGCCTGTCCCTTCATCAGATGAACTACCTACTCTACTCCTGTGAGTCAGAGGAGCGGGACCGTTCGGACGGCAAACGCGGTGCTTACGATGTGCCTGGGGTGGGGCCCTTGGCCTACTGCGGGTTGATGGGGGTTTGTGCCGCACTGGATGAGGCCCGTGCCGGGTTTACAGAGGACCAGTTGCTGTATGCCCCTGTGGCTGAGAACATTCGCAACGGTGATTGGATGATGGCCTGCTTGTTTGATCGCTTAGATGACATGCCCGGGCTCGAGGATGTGAAGGACTGGCTGCAGAGGGCTGCTCGGATCCTTGCCAGTTGCCCACGAAAGCTTGCCCCCTTCTATTTTGATTTGCTGGTGCCCGGTCTTTGCGCCGCAGCCTGTACTTGCCTGATAAACAATTCCTCTGACTTTGTTGCCACAGCTTCTGACGCCTCAGACTTGATACGTCACCTGGCGTTGGCAACTGTGCAATTCTGGGGCGCCACCAAATCCGCGCCTCTACATTGGGACCGTGCACAGCAAGAAGGCTGGCAGAAGCATCCCTCTTTGTGTGCTGGCTTGCCTCACTTTGCTGCTGGATTTATGCGGAATTGGGGGCGGGACACTTTCATCTCCCTGCGTGGCTGTCTTCTGGCCACGGGACGGCATGCAGAGGCCCGGGAGACGCTTTTGGTGTATGCCAGCGTCATCAGGCATGGGCTGTGCCCGAATCTACTGGATGCAGCGAACCGACCTCGCTACAACGCACGGGATGCCACCTGGTTCTTCCTGCAGGCGATTCAGGACTATGTGGCGGAGTCTGATGAAGGCGAGGAGTTCTTGGCTGCACCAGTCAGGCTGAAATGGCCAGTGAAAGACTGGGACGCAGATCTTGCAAATTTGGAGCCGCACACCGTGGCTGACCTTGTGCACCTCATTTTTGCAGCTCATGCCAAAGGGATTGCTTTCCGTGAATGGGGTGCTGGTCGTGGCCCCGATGCGGGGAAAGGCGACTTGTTTGCATTTTGCATGCTTGGAGGTGTGCCAGGCTTTTTAATTGGCCAGATGTTGTGGGCCCCAGTGATTGTCACTGGTGTTTGAGGCATCGATGACGACATGAGCGAGTGGGGCTTTGATGTGCAGGTTTCTCTGGACGAGGACACGGGTCTTATCTCTGGGGGTTGTGAGCACAATTGTGGCACTTGGATGGACAAGATGGGCTCTTCTTCCAAGGCTGGCAACAAGGGGAAGCCTGCCACACCCAGAGATGGCGCGGATGTTGAAATCATTGGCTTACTCAAATCATCCCTGCGATGGGTTTGCTCGCTAAAAAGGGACGTGTTCAAACATGAAGATGTGCGCACGGCTTCCCAGCAAACCCTCACTTACAGTCAGTGGAACCAAAAGATTCAGAACAACTTTGAGCGCTTGTTCTGGATAGATCCTGATGAGAAAGGTGGAGCGCAGGTGGCTGGCATCTACAGAGACACGCTCGGAGCAAGCCGGAAATGGCAAGACACGCAGCTTCGACCAAACTTTTGCATTGCCATGGCAGTTGCTCCTGAGCTGTTTCTGCCAGAGCACGCCAAGATGGCTTTGCGCACAGCAGCCAGTAGACTGATTGGGCCCATGGCCTTGGGCATGTGCACCCTGGATCCAGCAGACAAGGAATACCGGGGAGACTATCACAACGACAACGACTCAGCTGATATCGCAATTGCTCACGGCTGGAACTACCACCAAGGGCCGGAGTGGGTTTGGCCCTTGGGGTTCTTTCTGGAGGCATGGCATCGCTTTGGCTCGGATCACGGCACTTCCGCACCAAGGCATGCCATGCGCTGGTTGCTTTCGCACCGGTCCATGTTGCGCAAAGCGCCATGGAGGTCCTTGCCAGAGCTGACCAACAGCAAAGGCCAGCACTGTGGACACTCATGCCCTGCACAGGCATGGAGTCTTGGAACCCTTTTGGCCGCGGTTCGTACCATGAGCCAAGATGATGCTTCCAGGAGTGAAGCTTGACGCTTCTGAATCCATTGTTTCAATTGCAGCCTGGATGCGAGGTAGACGGAAGGCGCAGTTGAGCTTGCGGGGGATTGGCAGCCAAAGTATGGTTGACAAAGCAAGCTGTTTGTCCCTGTCACCACCCCACACCATCCCACCGATCTTGCTCTCAGAGCTTCCGCCACTTTGCGTTCGCAGCTCATTAATTTTCATGAAGCGCGGAGGCACTCAATACGCCAAACCGGCCTCTGCTATTGCGCGAATCGCTGCAGGCTAGCCCGTTCCCATGCTTCCTGCCTCAAACGATTGAGGGGAAAGCGCCAAAACGATCCAAAAAGCACTTATGCTGGTTCGCTGCCACATGTTGCTCTTAACGACTGAGCCTGTGTGTCACTGCATGGCGTGACAACTTCTTGCTTCGCCGCTTTTTTGCCCTTCTAGGGATGGAAGAGGAATTTAGATCAAGCCCATCTCTACACCGACAGCCTGTACTTCAATGTTGATGCTTTGGGGGCAGCAGTTGAAGGCAATTTGTTTGAGCAAAAGGCTTTGGCTGCCCTCCTGTCCTCGCCATGAGCTCCGGCCGAAAGCGCAAGGTGGTCGTCAAATGTGACGTGGCCTTAGCCAAGCTGAAGCTGCTTCACATCACCAAGACTGCAGGGACTGCCTTGGAATCTTTGGGTCAGCAGCTGGGCGTCAAGTGGGGCAGGCGCTGGACTCAACTGCATGCCCAGCGAGGAAAGCTACACCCCCCTCATGCTGGCAGACTCCGTTCAGAGTGGTGGCACGTGCCACCACGTTTGTTCCTGGAGAATCCCTACAGGAATTACGTGACATTTGCTGTGGTGCGCTGTCCCTATGCCCGTGCGATCAGTGAGTTCCGCTGTCGCTGGAAGGGTTTCTGTGCACCTGCCAGAGGCGATGCACAAAAAGAACGCCGAGCACATGCAAAAGCCTTGGAACTGAATCAGTGGTTGCGGCAGAAGCTGAGCAAAGCCGCACGACCACCGTACCAAAATTGCCACTTCATTCCGCAGCACTTGTACATCTTCGACACAGAGGGAAACCGTTGTGTTCAAGAGGAGAATGTTTTGCGCTTTGAGCATTTGGCTGAGGACCTGAAAGCATTTGGCAAGCGCCACGGCTGTGATTTTCCTCAAATCCCTCGAGCAAATGAGTCTGAGATGCCAAAGTTTACAGTTGACGATCTGGAAGATGAAACACGAGCCTTGATCGAGTCAGAATTCTCTGATGACTTCAGCTTACTGGGCTTCCAAAAGCTTGGGACCAAAGATGACCCATGAAAAGGCACTCGGATTGGACTAGTGGCTGAACCTTTTGCCGGAAGCCGCTCCCCGCGTGGGTGATTTGCCAAGCAGAGCAGCTCCGGCGGCATGTGGCGGGCGAAACTCTGATGACATCACGGACAAGCGAGATCTGTTTGCTTGCCGTTCCGTTCAGTATGATGCGGCTGTCTTGAACTGTTTGTTTGTTTGCTTGCTTGCTTGCTTGCGTTCTTGTTCCTTGCCTTATGGCCGCAAAGACTTGTCAAAAAACAGGGGCCATGCCCAAGTGCAGTCTGAGGCTTGCGAGCAGGATCAAAGAACCGTCCATGCACGAGGGGGACGGGGAGCGATCAAACAAGATGCGCTGCAACAGGGGCGGTAGGAGCTGCGCTGCATGCCCGCGACAGCATGGATGTGAAGCAATGTCCGGCACCGGCTTAAGGTTGTTTGGCTCCCATGAGCCATGGAGCCAAAGAGGCCCCGTGTCACCCTATTAGCCAAGTCGGAGGCTGCTGCTGGGGATGGCCGCCTTCGCCCAGCCCCGGCCCGAACCTGGGAGGAGCGCCCTGAGGTGCTCAAGTCCTCGCCAGAGGCCACCCGCAAAGCCCCAGTTCCCGTCCGGCGAGTTCCGGTGAAGCGGACTGCGGCAGCTGCAGGCCTTGACGCCACTGCCACCAATGCCACCAATGCGACCAATGCCACCAATGGGGTGAAGCGCAAAGGGGCCAGCAATGCTTTGAAAGTGGGCATCAGCCAACGCATACCAAAGCCACCTTCTGTGCCGCCGGCCCTGAAGTCCAACCGGGTGGATGTGGAGGCCTGACATGTGTGGTTTGCTTCCATGTGATGCAATTCACTGCACCTCAGGCTGTGGTGACCCCTACAACCGGGACCAAGCCTGCACCTGCGCCCGTCAAGGTGGCAGCAAAGGTGCCAGTCGCACCCGCAGAGGCTGCAGCGCAGCCTGCTGCAGGCGTGCAGCCTGCTGCAGTGCAGTCTGCTGCAGTTCGCTTTAGCGTCGGTGGGCAAACCTTCCAAATTGCAGCGAAGCTGGTAAGGGCCAAGCCAGACACCGTTCTTGCCAAGGTTTTGGCAAGGAGTGATGCTGGCATATCACTGAATGTCCCCGTGGACGTTTGCCCGGACAGATTTCGACTGATTTTGGACTGGTACCGCTATGGCGAAATCTGGGTACCAGCAACACTAGCAACAGAGGCCGTGCTCAAAGATGCGGCTCGCCGGGGGCTTAGGTTGCAGGTGAGGAGTAGAGAGCATGCTTTCGAGCATGGGATTCCCACTCAGGGCTCGAGTTGCCAGAGGAGATTGTCGTGAATGGCACTTTGCGCAGCACGCGTGCCGTCAGCGCCAAGCAAGTCGGGCGGACCTTGATTGCAGGCGTTGTCAACAGGCCGGCAGAATTGCTTGCTGTTGGGCTTGTCAAGTGTGCTGTTGTCAATCAAGGTGGCCTGGCTTCCGTGCATTCTTCACCCAGACGCTGAATCAGATAGATCAGCACTTCCTATCAGCCGCGTTCCCGCCTCAGTTGCGTTTTCCCAATCTGGCACACCAAGTCCTCTGCAATCAACGGCTTCAGGTCTTCATCCAGTACGAGCGTTGCGGCCAACGATGATGAAGCAGCAGCTGCCGAAGAAGCTTTCGACTTCCCGCGCTTTGTGCTGCCGCTCTTTCGGGAGGCCAGGGCGGCACAGATTTGCCGCACCAGTGGCCCGCTGTGACTTGAAGCAGTTTGGTATGTGGTGAATGGTGCAAATTTTGTTGCGCTTGGTTTGAATGGCTGTGGAGGAAGGCTTGAAATAGGACACGTGCTGACCACATCAGCAGAGTTTCGGGTTGGCCAGGGAACCACATTGGGCCTTGCTCTAAGTGAATATTGGAATGGTCGAATTTACACGTTGAGAGGAAGGCAGATGTCCATCCGATATCCTTCAAGCAGAGAAGAGTTTTGATGCGTTTCGTTTGCATTCCGGCGGCAAGATCCGCAGAGAGCATCCCTGACAGGGATGGGTGACACCAACTCAAGTTTGCAGTGCGGCAAGGGCCAGAGTCCTGGCGTTGAAGCTGGAGGAACTTGGCTATCTTTGCGAGTTTTCGGATTCCGAACTTCTGGTGAGTCTGCCTCTGAAGCTTCGCTGCGAGTTGATGCCTTCAAGCTGCTTGGCACGCACCAGCCAGTTGGCTTCACTTGCATTACTTGAATTCAGGAATGACAGGGAAAGGCGGGAAGGCGGGAAGGCGCGAACGGGCTTCACAAACTGGCACTTGAGGTGGGCCAGATGCTGCAGAAGCAGAGGCATCTCAGCCAGAGGAAGCAAATCACGGCAGCTGAGTGAGCGAAGAACTTCGTTATGAGAGCAAAGCTTAGACGTGTCACCCATCTTACTTGCGCAGGCCCGGCGCCATGTTGCGGGTAATGGGGTGTTTGTAGCCCGTTGCATGACGGGCTGGAGCTGCCGCGGACATGAGAGAAAAGAGGCAGGGAGCGGCTGCCGAGCTCGTTGGCCACTTGGGTATGGGTCAAAATCAAACCGCTAGGACACCGCAGGGTTTAGTCTATGTCTCCAGTGACCAGGGTTCCATGTCAGGTACCTATTTTTGACCCAAAGCCATTTTTTTCCGCGGGATGCTTGAATGTCGTTTACAATGTTCTGATGCAAGCGGGCACCTCGCAAGACCTTGGTGCTTGCGTCCTGCGCTTGGCTCAAGCTGTTTGCAGGCGTGCAAGTCGAAGCCGGCATGCCCAAACGCGTGCTTGCAGTAGGTGATGGGGACTTATCTTTCTCCTTAGCTCTCTCCAGGGCTTTTGGAGGAAGTATCGAGTTGCTGGCTACAAGCTGGCTGAGCGCTGACGAGCTGTCTCAGCGCTACAAGTCTGCAGCTAGAATTCGTCAAGAACTCTTGCAATCCGGCGCGTCGCTTCTGCATCAGGTTGACGCGTGTCATTTAGACGGCCTGGAGGCTGCAGACATTGTGATCTTCAACTTTCCACATTTGGGCGACGTTGCCGGAGATTGCCACAGTCCTTCGAGTGAACACGTTCAGCAGCACCGACGCCTGCTGTGCCACTTCTTGCATGCAGCATATGCAGCCAGCAGCACCACAGGTGAAGTTCACTTGACGCTGTGTGGAGAACAGGCAGGGCTCTGGGACCTGCAGGCTGCTGCTTGCAGAGCTGGATGGGAAGAGCAGCGGCTGCTTGACAGAGATCTGTGCCAGCCTCCCCCGCGCCACTTTGCAAAGGCAAGGCCCAATGCCCGAGAATGAACCGGCCCCGATCGGAAGTGGGAAAGAGTTTGATGGCATGAGAAAAAGGGAGAGAGAGAGAGAGATACTTCCTGCATCACTACTTGTTATTTCTGCTTTGCGCGTGCTTGGCGAAGCTAAGGAGATATTCACCTTCTGCGGTTGCCGCCTGGCTACAGCTCAGCAGTTTGACCAAATAGTGTCCCGTCCCCTCTTTTCCTTTTCCTTGGGGGAAGGGTGTCCGCATGGCATCAGGAAAACTTCCTTCAGGGACAGCTGGCGGATTTGCCTGTCAGTGTTCCACAGCTTTCCTGGCGATGTCGTCGAAAGTGGCGCAATGGATCTTTGGGGTTTGTCCACTGGGCTTCCAACTACGGATATGAACATCGTCGTCATGAAAGTGAGCAGCTGATGCACGTAAGCAATTGCACGGCCTTTGTTTTCAAGAAGGAAACTGGGAATCGTCACTGGGCTGCACGAGCGTTGAATTCTTGCGGCATTTGTGGTGACCAATTTGTGGATGCTGAAGCCTTGGGGCGCCATTTGGCTGCCCCGGCTTTGCCCATTGACGGCACTCCGAACACGGAGAAATGCTCCACGTGCGGCCGCTGTTTTGCGTCTCAGCGAGCCTTACGGCAACATGTGGATGCTGGATCCTGTGTTACCCCTGCAGCAAAACCAGTTTCAGAAGCTGTGGTGGCGTCCAAGACGCCTCGTAAGCAGCTGGTCCCAAGTGTCATTGCCGAGGTCACTTCTGATTTTGAAGGTATTCGACTTGCCCATTTCCCGCGACAACTTGAGGCACTGCGGAGGCATCTTCCTTCCAAGATGTCCGTGAAGAGGGCAATTGCCCAAGGTGAATTGACCATTTGTGGAGAATGCGTGGAGGAGACTCGCAGGCTTCATGTCGGAGATTCTGTATGGCTTTGCTTGGACAAAGAGCGGGAAGCTCATGAATCAAGCGCTGGACCGGCAAGATCTGTGAGACTTGTAGTGCTGACTGTCGATGGACAGAGTCTGACAGGAGATTTATTGCACGCGGAGTCGTGGCAGGTTGTTCGCTCCCAGTGTCCAGATGGTGCTGCCGTAGTGTGGAAGCCGAGCGGAATGAGAAGTCTTGGTAGTCATGCCGGGACGCTACAAGCATCTTTGCCACTACTGCGGAAGCTTGCGTCCAGTCAGCCGCTTCCCTTGAGCAGGCTTGAGATTGGCTGCAGCGGGTTGTCCCTGGTAGCACTGAGCGAAAGCGCGCGCACTCAACTGCAGGCTCTGATGCAAGCTGGGCACATTGTTCACACTTTCCGGGCTTTGGTGCATGGCAGCGCTGGCCGTCCTGGAGAATCTTGGGTCATCAAGCCACCGCCTGGAAACGAACAGGATGAGCAATCGGTGGCTAAGCATGAACTGATTGAACAGCACAGGCAAGAAGAGGAGGATGAGCAGGATGAGGGTGCCGCGGAGAAACTATCCTCGATGAGCGTTTGCGTTCATGTAGTCAAGGCCTCACTTGCTGAGCTGCCCTGCATGTTTGCTCATACTTTGAAGCGCGTTAAGTCTAGCCACAATAGGGTAGTATAGACTCGCTCTCCATGTAGATTTCCATGCGTATGCAAGGTGAGCGTAGAGTCCTTCGAGATTGACACAGCAGAGCCAGTATGTATGAGCATCATCGAACTCAGCACGGCTGCATCATGCGGGAGGCGCAGCGCAAAGTCACTCCTTGAAAGGCTTGCTCCAAGAGTATGCAAGCTCAAAGCTCTCACCTGAGGTGTTGTGGATCCTTATGCTACATGATGCGCAGGCATCGGCATTGGATTTGTGGCACCGTGTGAGTTGGAAGGCAGAGTGTGTTTCGACTTGCGCAACCGTGCAACCGTGCATGCAGGATGGGCATGCCTGTTGTGGGTGACATGCTGGCACGACGTTCTGGCCCAGGACTGCTTTAAATATGATTGGCACAGAGCTTCAAGCCATTCAATTGAGGCAATGGAGCTCGGTCTCTTCGCTACAGCATCCTTGGAGGCCTGGTTTGACACAGTTTGCGAAGGCTTCGAATCTCATGCCGAGGCGGAAAAAGAAAGCTCCAATTCGAGTGTATTGGAATTTCTGCCAATTCGGAGGAAACTCGATCTGCATAGTGGCACCTGCCTGCCAACCTCACCTACTTAGGAGTTTTAGCAGGTAGATGATGGTAGATGGGTGATGCTCAGAGTTGAGAAGGGCAAACTCAGGTCAGGTGCCGGAAAGGCGAGATAAGATGAGGTTGCATCAGCTGAGGGAAGATAAGTCAGGGTTGAGGAAGAAAAGGGTGAGGCAATGGAGGGGAGGGGGTATATTAAAGGTAGGGTAGCGTGAATCAGTGAAGGGCAGTACAGGTAGAAAGGTGGGCGGAATGCCAGGCAGGCGGGCAGGCAGGATGGCAACGGGTTGGTGGCCAGTACAGAGGTTCAGATGATATGATATGGACCATATGGATGATTTGGCTGAACTGAGCAGCCCAGGATGCAAGCACCACCCTGGATGTGCGAATATGTCGCCGCGGTGTCGATGACAAGTAGCCATGCGAGAGGCAGAAAGTTACGCATTGGAGACCTTCGACATTGAATGCGGGCACCTTACTGTTGTCTGAAGAGCAGCGGTTGACATCATGTTTGTGAACTGTTGCAGTGCACAGCAACACCGCATCTCTGGCACAGCATGAGTCACGAGGAGCTTTGCAGGAAGAATCATCACCACCATGATCATCGCCCTCGTCGTCCTCGTCGTCGACATCCTCATATCATCCATGAGGCTTTCCCCGCAGTCCGAAGACAAGGGGCGCTGTTTGTCAGACGCTCGCCCAAATGAGTGCTGGTGAAGGCTGGCATGGCAAGGGTTGTGCCTCGTCTTAGGAGCGAGGTCTGGAGTGCGTGCACGTCAAATCCACAACAGCAACATCGATTTGACAAATTCGGTGCGATTCCAATGAAGCATGTCAGCTCGTGGCTTCAGACATGCCAATGTGCACCAGCTGCGCTGCTGCTGCAGTGTGAGACTCAAGCTCGGCCTGCAGCATCGCAGTGGCACACACGCAGACACACGCACACACACACACATGCAAGCAAACACACACACACACACACACCCACACCCACACACACACACACACACATATATATATATATATATACGCCCACACACACAAAGACACACACACACACACAACATTCACAATGCCGCATATGCTGGAACGTGTGACCTCGTTAAGACATTCTGGCAGCATCGGACAACATCCTCTGTTCATATCTACTTCATCCTAGGCGTTTTGCCTCGGGCTTGTCATGCGCCCTGATGGCATCAACTCGCGGGGTCAGGCTGCCGCATGTGCCGTGCGAGCTTCGACTGTTTTGTGCATGGCGAGGCTGGCGGTGTTGGAGCTGGCGGTGTTGGAGCAGGCAGGGCTTGAGCCTTGAGGTTGGTTCCATGTCGCGCCTTGGTTTTGGTTGCCTTGATGAAGTGGGAAGCCGATGCAGGTCCGACTGGTTCACGACCGTTCCAGGCTTGGCAACATTGCATGGGCGTAGAATGTTACCACACTGCTGCGCCTGTCATGCACACACAGGTGGATGTCTTAGCCGAGTCTTTGCAGCAGTGGTCGCAGAGCTTGAGTGCTTGTCAGTGCGGGGAGGCCCTTGTCACTTTGGTTCCCATGAGTCCCTGAGTCAGCCTCGTTGCCTGAGGACTGTTACAGGAATGCAGCTTCCAACTTGCCATTGTCTCCGGCAGGATCTGCTACGTCCGGTGTTACTTGACTACCCAGATAGGCGGAGATAGTGTTGCATATGCAATGTTTCTTCACCCGCTCCTTTTGCAGAGGTTGCGTCAGCGGTGCAGCGGCTCAGCGGCAGTACGCGGCAATAACGCCCATGAGATGCTTGCTTCAGCTGCCTTCCCTGTTCATTTGGCCGAGCTCCCTGCTGCCAAGGGTTCAATCGCATGCCCGAGGCAGGAACAGACCGTAGCTTGCACAGGCTTGGAGCATGACTCTTGAGAGGTGCAGGTCAATCTGGGCCCCTCTCTGATTGCTCCACAGTACGGCATGGACAGCCTCTTGCCTTAACTGAGATCAGCTACCTTTGCCCAGGCGCTCCAAGGGTAGGTTTGTGTCGCTGAGATACTGAGGCTCAACACGACGGCCTGCGAGCCGTGGCCAGCGGCGCTCTCAATGCGACGCTGCGAGCTGTCGCTCCGAGTGCCATGGATCCTGAGGACTCTGATCCAGAGAGCCCGGCTTGGCAAGAGACACATCCGCGGAGCCTGCAGGCGCGCAGCAAAAACCCACATGTGCTGCTCCTGGATGTTTTGTATCGCAGGATGTTTTCGAGCTCCTGGACCAGAAGGAACGAGAGATGAGCATGAGTTTCTCCAAGATGCGTGCACAGCCTCCTAGCTTGAAAAGGGTGTATTGGGGACACAATTTGGTAGGATACAACGGTGAAAATGCTATTGAACCAACACTGCCAACTCACAGCTTCACATGCCCACATGCCGAGCACGCTCGAGACCGAGGCTGTTGCAGTCAGTTTCAACACCATTGATTGGTCATGCTGGCCCTGTGGCAGGAAAACAGGCTGGCAGTGAGGGTCAAATGAGGTTGCCCCAAGCACACCATCATACTCTCCACCCTATTCGGCATGATGGTCATTCATGTGAGGCTCTAACTGCCAGATCTGATGAGGCAGGCAGACTCATTTTTTACGCAGCCCATCTGCGCATGCGAGGTCACAGCTGGCTGGAGAGACTTTGGAACACCCTTCTACAGTGCTCTTGCTTTGCACTCTGGCTGCGCTTAGTCTGCGGATGCATGCGTCGGATTGAAATTCCCATGGTACTGCCGGGCAATCCATCGATCCCGGAGCTCAATGGCTTGAGATGAAGGGCAGTCCACAAGCAAGTTGTCAGGAAACGTGGTTCGCACGCTGCCTCACCGATTCCTTAGCATGTCAGACAAACGTTTTGCAAGCTCGCGTTCGGAGAGCCATGGCGGAGTCAAGCGCTGATGGTACCTGCAAGGCTCGCCATGTCCGCGCCCAGCAAAGGGGCAGACTCCAAGCTTGGGATTCGGTCCGGTCCGTCAAGTTTGATGACAGCCACCTCTGGGTTGGCGAGCTCACTCTGGAGTGGAAGCATATTGCATTGGCCAGCATTTGCCTGCAGGGCGGTGGCGAAAGTTTTGGTGTTGTGTTGGCATCTTTCGACCACGCTCTGTTCGACTTTGTCGAACTTTCGCTTCCAATGGCTCCTGCAGCCGCATTGCTGATTCAGAACCTCCGCCAGCATGTGGAGATAACCCGTATCTCCAGGGCGTTGCTTGTATGGCCGCTGCGAACACTTCACCCAAGCTTGACATTTCGGCAAGTCTATTGGTGGTATCAGATATTCTCAAATACAATGGAAGTGATGTTTGCTCTGACTTTCTTTCTGACATTGGGGAAGCGGTTCAGTTCCTCAGCCGAAGGCATGTTGTCCTCTTTGAGCAAGCTTCGCGACGATCTTGCATCCATTTGGACTGGAGAATTCTGGGCATTGCAGTGGCCAATCCTGGCTGCTGTCAATCAGGCTCTTCAAGAAAAAGTCGGAGGTTTCGTTTTTCTATTGACTATCCCGATTCAGCTTGGCATCATCCTCTTGGACTTTCATGCAGATTTCGTGATTCTAACCATGCTGCTGCCGCACGTGTTTCTGCTGTGGCACTCCATCAGCAGCCTTACCTATGCCAGCCAAAAGTCAATAAGTCTTCTTTTGAAGCTGGGTACTGCCGTCCAGTCAAAGGTCAAGAGCCCAGATGGCAAGAAGGACAGGTGAAGGTTCATAGGAGTGGCTGAGGCTTGTCGGCCTGGCAAGTGCCATAGGCTGAGTGCAGTGAGTTGGTTTGACGGTCTGATTTGGTTCTTGTTGCAAGGGTAGGGCAGAAGTAGGTATTACCAATGCTGATCTGGGTGGTGCTTTATGTGTTTTCCTTTTTTCCCTTTTTATCTTGTCCTTCTGAACTTGCTTGAAGCTGTTGTAGAACACCAGCCAGTCAGCCACAAGTACAGAGATGCTGGACAGCGCTTTCACAAGAGGACACCGCGAGGAAACCACGCACAACCCTGGCAAAAGAGTGTATCCGTGCAGCTTGGGATAACCCGAAGGCTGACAGAGTATGCCATTGGGATACGCATGCCAATGGCTACTATGGATTCAAACAAGGCTCTGGGCAGAAGAATGTAGTCTGGCGAAGTGCCCCTTGATTGTTTGGTCGGTGGGCTGGCTGGCTGGCTGGCTGGCTGGCTGGCTGGCTGGCTGGCTGGCTGGCTGGTTGCTGGTTCTTTGTGTTTCCTTGTTTGTGTGTTTGTGTGTTTGCGTATGTTTGCTTGTCTGTGCTTGTGGATTTGTTTGGGTGTGCGGAAGTATGAGCGTGCACGTTCGTCGCATTGTGTGTGTGAAGATACAGTTTTTTGCAAGCATTTTTTGTTTGTACAGTCGCTTTTCATGTCGCATCGTGTGCATCGTCTCCTATATGTACTGTTTGTGTGTATTGTATTCTTGTGCTGTGTATGTGTTGTTTGTGTTGCACCCATTGCTCATATTGTATGTGTTGCAAGTGCTGTTTGTTATATGTAGTGCGTGTTTGTATTGTAGTGAAGTACATCCTTGTACGAAGCGACATTCCAAGTGCAGCCAAACCGCGCCGACGTTTGCTGCAAGTTTTCTAAATAGGAGCGCCATGGGTGCCTAACGTCACCTTTGGATCCTATCCCCTGCAGCACCAGCAAAGCCGCTGGTAAGCGAGCTTCATGGGCTTCGAATAGGCAGGCCTCAATGCTCAAGCGCGGGTTTCGAGCCGAAAAGTGCTCCAGATAGGAATGTCACTTTTGCATCTTGTATAGAAAAGAAATCGGACACAGCAGCAACATCCCCGGCAGCGCCAGCAAAGCTGCCCACAGGTTTCGAGCCGAACAGTGCCCCAAATAGGAGTTCAGCGGATGCCTGACGTCAACATCCCTGGCCGCCAGCAAAGCCGCTGGTAAGGGAGCCCCGGGGAGCTCCAAATAGGTGCTCCAAATAGCGTAATTTTTGGATCCTAAATAAAGAATTCGGGTACCTCAAAGGTCTCCAAAAAGGCAAGCTTCAACAAGGCCAAGACGCAGGCAGGTTTCGAGCCCGCATGCAGCAGCAACATCCCCGGCAGCACCAGCAAAGCCGCTGGCAAGCGAGCCTCAGGGGGCTCCGAAGAGGCAGGCTCCAAACAGGTTTCGAGCCGAAAAGTCAGCCCACACCAGAGGCATCCACTGAAAAGGCGTGCGCCGCCCTCACACTTGCATTGTGCATTGTCGCGCGGCATTCAGATAAAGTTGCAGTTGGTTTGCAAGAGCGGAAGAATGTCTGGTTGTTTTGTGCGTTGCTTGTGTTGTATCTGTTGTAAAGTGTATGTGTTGTACACGTTGCACGGCCGAGCCTGGTATACGTATTTGTTCGCTGTTTGCATTGTCTGCGTTGCGTAGTTAGTTCGTGCCATGTTTTTTTTTGACCCTTGCATGTATCGCCGTTGCCCCGCTTTGTGTCAACACGTCTGGGCAGATGCCGTTACCCAGGCAATGCCGTTGCCCTCAAGACTAGGTGATGTAATTTGGTTGCGTTGCAGCCCATGCGAGCAAAAGGGGTGTGAGCGCATGAAGCATCGTTTAAGGGCATACACACATGACGGGTGAGTATGAGCATTGCGTGTATGCATGTGTGCATGCAGGTGACGTGTTTTTTCCGTGTATGTGTGCGCGCGCTGCCACCAACGGTTTGCAAGTGTCCTTGCGGCACCATGGCCGTCGTCGATGGTTGCATATTGCCAGAGAGGGAGAGGGTGAATATGGAATCAACGATCCGGGCCCCTAAGGCAACGCGAGCGTGAGAGAGAAAATCACCAGCTCCGCGAAAAGATCGCACTCCGACGCGTGGAGCTGCAGAGATTGCAAGCAAAACTGGAGCACATGCCTCACTTACCTGCTGGTGCCCTGGCATGCACTTTGCCCTTGGCTGTTTCGAACGGGCCGATCATGACACGCGGAGTGACTTGCGAGTACTGCTTGGCGTTGCGGCCTTGCGGTGTTGTTGTTGTAGCAAAGGCCTCCATGCTGGGACGTTGGGCTCAGC